GTGCTGCTTCCATGTGGGCTTTGTTGCGTCTCAGCTAGATGGCCGCATGTTTTCTTAAAGCCTTTAAGACCTCAGGCGCTATATCTTTGATAGCCGGCTACCATCAGCTTTCTTCACATTTGCTTATACGCTTGCTTTGTCTTCAGCGATCATGTTGGGAAGGTGAGCATCTCAGAGTGCTGGATTATTAGAAAAAAGTGTACTTGTTTTGAGGGAGTACTTGAGTAGGCCCAATGTCCATCTTCAGCACATTTTTTAATGTAGTTTTTGTGGTAAAATTAGGTGCCTCGGCTGATAATCGGGTCGGCTTATACTCAAGTATATACGGTAATTTTTTCAATCAGTCTTTCGAGAAAAATTGAAGTTAATGTAGAAAATTTTATGGAATGAATTGGAACCAGAGGCAAGTCTTGGGTCTACCAATAGGTTCCAGAGAGTAAAGCCCTATCACAACAGTGGCTTCCAAGAGGATCCCCGAGGCCCGTTATATTCAAGGCTGAGTTCAACTCAGAATTATGGTAACTGTTTTGGGGGATTCCAAAGGACTAATCTTAATAGATAGTTACAAAAGACACAGGCTGTTCACAGAGACTTTTTAAGAGAGACCTTTCAAGAATATTGAAAATTGCATTGGTGAGGGAAAAGGCCCAGAAAGTTGCACTGAGGAATTGTCCGTCATGACTATGCACCTGCTTGCTCTTGGGAGGCAGCATGGACTGTCCTATCAGAATTTCATTGGGAAACCTCACCCCATTCACCCTGCAGCCCCTGTCTCGCCCTTTCAGACTTCTTGTTCCTAAACTCAAAGAAGATTCCAAAGGAACATGATTCGAGTCCATCAAGGATGCCAAACCTGCCTTTTTTTGTGGTGGTGTGAATCAAAGAGGGCAGAATTCTTCAGGGAAGGCTTAGAGAGATGACAGTACTGCCTTCAGAAGTGCGTAGATCCAGATGGAGGATATGTTAAACAACAGCTTCCCATTTTAATGCTGCTGCTGCTGTTAGGTCCCACTGAGTCAGGTCCGACTCGCAGCCACCTTATGGTGAGCACTCTGTACTACTTCTTTTGTTTAATAAAGGTGTTTGAGGTTTTTTTGGTAGTAATACATTATGACTTGTGGTTTATTGTTGTATGTATATACTAAGAGGACTTTAGGGAGTTCATAGAAAAATTGAGTTGAAAAATAATAGAATTTTCTCACAAACTTATTGAAGTCCTCTTTGCGCATCAACACACGTTTTAAAAAAAATCAAATTTAGGCTCTGAGTTTGATTCAGCGTTTTCTTACAGGTTGGATTCTTGAGGGGGGGTCGTTCTAGCTGGGCTCTGCGCCTGCAGCCCAGGCTCAAGGCACGTGGAGACCATACCCAGCAGATGTTTGGATGTAGGGGATTCTTCCAGACAGTTCTGCTCTGTTTGCTAGTGGTGGTCGTGCTGTGAAGGGCTGTACTGGTTTCTTGTTAGACATTTGTGTGTTTGTTTAAACTGTCTATTGTGAATTGGGTGAAGGTTTACAGACAGATCATCAGTTTTATATCAACAGTTCATTTGCTTTTTGTCTCATCTCATCTATTGCAATCTCCTCGATGTACCACTTCCTCCGTTTCCATTCTTCCTTCCTTCCTAACCCTCTGAACTTTGTCCTTGGGCCAGTGCTGCCCTTTTGGTTTCAAATGATTGATTATCTTAAGCTATGTATACCTCACTAGTGTCATTGTTCCCCTTCTAGACCTGCTTTTTGTTTGGCTGAAAATTGAGCCTTGAGGTAAGTTCAGTTCCAAACCTGAAGGGTCACGAAAGGCCTTAGTCTTAGAGTTCTTTCAATTTATCTGACCAGTCTGTTTTACGATTTTGAGTTTTACTCCACACTTTTCTCCCACACTACCCAGGACTTCCTAATGCCATCTTGTTCAGAGCAGGTAGTAGTGGTGGCCAGGCCTCAAGTAGTTCTGCACTCCACATCTTGGAGACTGGTGTTTGTTTGTGTGGCCCATTGGTCTTTTGTGGACCTAGTTTACATGTGTCCTTGACTTTCTTCCATCCTCTTCCAGAGGAGAGACCAGTAGGGTGCACCTTGGATGGCTGCTCCTGAGCTTTTAAGACCCCAGTTGCTACCCCCCCAAGTAGGATGTAGAATATTGTGAATTATGTTATGCCAGTTGACCATGATGTCCCCCTAGACCAGTGGTTCTCAACCTTCCTAATGCTGTGACCCTTTAATACAGCTCCTCATGTTGTGGTGACCCCCAACCATAAAATTATTTTCATTGCTCCTTCATAACTGTAATTTTGCTACTGTTATGAATCAGGTGACCCCTGTGAAAGGGTCATTCTACCCCCAAAGGGGTTGCAACCCACAGGTTGAGAACTGCTGCCCTAGACCATGGTCCTAAGGAGGACAGTCCTTCAGGTAATGTTCTTTATTTTGTGAGGCAATTTTTTTATTTACAAGGTGACTTCAGTATTTAGTTATAATTCGCGATTTGAAGAGTACAGCAGGGCAGTAGTCTCTGTGATTCTTCCAGTCTCAGTAGGTCTGCATTTGTCGTACCTCTGCCCTCATTTAGGCCCCCTGTTTGCCCTCAGTATAAAAGCACTCTGCCCTCTAAAGTCTCCTGATTTTTATAGGACTTCCTAACAGTCCCCTTTTAACATTCTTATCAAAAGACAAGAGGAGGAACAGGATGACTGGAAGGTGGGTGATATGTCTTTTGCAATCAGGATGCCCAGTGTTCTCCAGAGCCTACCCAGGGACACCTTGTTGCCAGACATAGACCAAGGTAGCTTACTTTTCCCTTGATCCAGATATGCCCATGCCCCACTTCCCCCCATCAGATCCTCTGCCCCATCTTTGCTGCCTTGGCACGCCTGCTCCTGGAGGTGAGTGCCTTGGGACCCAGGGCCTAAGAGCTTCTGCCTCACTCACAGTTCAGGAGCCAGGATTCCAGGTTGATGACTGTTTGTTGAGTGAACAGTCTAGCAGTCTGAGAGGGAGCAATGGAGTTGGCTCTTTCTGTCATATACCTCTCTGGCCAGAAAGCCTGCTCTCCGAGGTTTTTTCAGGGTTGCAGACCTGCCCCTGCCAGCTCCTAGCCTGCTATGTTAGCCGTTGGGATGGGTTGGTTTGGGGTTGGAACCACTGTTGTATCTCAGGCAGCTGCAGGCTGGCTTTTCAGCACCAATGAGTGACTGCTCACTCATTTGGTTCTCAGCTTGTCTGGTGTCGGGGAGACAGGCACCGAACGCAAGGGCTTTGTGGGCAAAGGCACGGTGGGCTCCATGCAGCACTGGGAACAGGCTGGAGAACCCAGCTGTGCCTCCAAGAGCATGTGGCAGAACGCATCCACAGAGCATTTGAATAACATAGAATCCACACCCGTAAGCCATCTCAGGTTGTTCCAGGGTTTCTGACTTGGCCAAGTGTGCTTTGAAGAGGTGTTTCTTTCTTTATTGTAATCGTGGGGAAATAAGCACCACGAAACAGACACCAAGTCAGCACTTTCGACATGTTGAATTCAGTCCCATAGATGACATTCTTCAAGGTGACAACCATTCTTTGTCCTTTTCCAAAAGATGTCTTCTCCATCAGTATCAGCTCAGTGCAAAAACTTGCCCTTTCCCTCTTTTCCCGCCCCAGCCCAAACCAAACTCCCAGCCATCGAGTCAATGCCATCTCATAGCGACCCTATGGGACCGAGTAGAACTGCCCTTCTGGGTCTCTGATGCAGAAACTCTTTTTATTTTAATTTTATTTTGAGACTGTAACTCTTCACAGGTATAGAAAGCCCTTGTCTTTGAGGAGCAGCTGGTGATTTCAAACTGCTGACCTTGGAGTAGCCACTACACCACCAGGCTTCCTCCTTCCTCTGCTAGGTGACCACTAATCGTTTTGAGGGTTCTGTAAGGAAGACTGGAGGAGAACGAGGCACATGAATGTTGATATGAGGGAAGAACACGAGTATCCATACACTGGACTGCCAGAAGGAACAAATCTGTCTTGGAGAAAGTACAGTCAGAGTGCTCCTTAGAAATGAGGATGGGCGAGGCATGTCCCCATAGGCGTCTAAAGTGTGCCTGATTTCCTTCCAACGCCTTTAGTGTGGTATTGGCCAGCCAGTGTTTGTTTAGTGTCAGCATTCAGTGGAGACAGCCCCCTCTTTCCCTACTCCTCCTTCCTGTCAGGGCCACATTGAAGGGACGCAGTCGATGAGATAAAGCAAATTGGTCTGGGTTGTTGAATGGAAAACTAATGATCTACTTTGTAAACCACAATAGAAAGTGGACCCGCTTCCCTCCCCGAAAAACCCAACATCCCATCTACTTAAGGCATGGAGGGTGGTACAAACCAATAGCCACAGGGTTGGCCGTTTAAAAACCACCCCCACCAGCGACTCTGGGGAAGAAAGGCCCGATGTTCTGTTTCTGTAAAGAAAATAGTCCCCAACATCCCCCATGGAACAGTTCTAGTCAGAACACCTTGGGGTTGTCAGGAGCAGGAACCAACCTGACACTGGCTAATAACCATTTTCTAGAAGTGAAATCAGACAGTATTTGACCTTATACCTCTGACGGGATGTTCTTCTCGTGTGTGCGCACGCGCGCTGTCTTCTCCTGTGTGTTGAGGTTGGGCTTTGGACCCACCTGGAGGTTTGTGTATCCCTGGAAGGCACTTTTGCCTTGGGAAGACCTGAGATGGGACTTCACATGGCCCTTTTGCTTTGCAGAGCTGCTGTGGGACCAGGCACCACCAGGCCGGCAGTGGAAGCTGCCTGTCTTACTGGTCCTGCTACTTCTCAGTTGCACTGTTTAGTGTCCTGCCTCGTGTCTGGCTCCCGCCCTAACCTGAGGGGTAACTGAAGGATGACCTCAGCGGCAGCTGCCAGGCTGGATCTGCTGGCTAGGCCCCTACAGCCGGTGGGGTGGAGTTGTGTGTGTGTTGGAGGGGGCACACTGGGTAACACACTGGGTGCATAAACTTCTCCCCCCTTTTGTGTTTCAGCGAGGATGCCATGAGGAAGGCTGGTGTGGCCCACAATAAATCCAGCAAAGACATGGAGAGCCATGTGTTCCTGAAAGCCAAGACCCGGGTAAGGCCTGATGTGGGTGGAGCCCTGTGGCAGAAAGGCTTGGTGAAGTGGCAGGGAGTACACCTCTACCTTGGTTGGGCACTGGGTGGCCATTCACTGATCCTGAGCTCTGTCGCCTTTACCTGCAGCCCCCTGTCTACCTTCAAGGCTGTCCATGTTACAGGAAGGGGGGCCTGATGCTGCAAAGAGAGCACAGGCCCAGCCTTGCTCTACAACCCCTTCATCCAGGCTTGCTCATGGGTACCCTGTGGGCCTCCTTTAGATGACCGTTTGCTTTGGTTCTTTGGAAAAGCAGTTTGGATGATTTCCCCTGTATCTCTGACCGCTCTCTTGGCCCTCATTCTTTGAAGAAGCAACTTGGTAGTGATGTGAAAGGGGCTCCCAGGTGGTTCTCAGCCCCAAACAGCTTGTGACTTACACTATTGCCTGGCAAGGTATGAACAACTTGATGACTGGGTTGCCGTCTACCTTATGATTGGTCTGTTTCATCTACTCTATAAGGATTGGTCAATTTGCTGTATAAATGGTAACTGAAAAATACACCCATCAAGCTTGCAGGGACTGACCGCTTCCTGGTCCTGCTGGGAGGGCTGTGCTTTGAAATTGAGACAAGGTGTTGATTTCTGTAAGCAGCCAACCTCACAGAAGCTCTTACAGAGCCATAATACTACAGGGTCAAGGGCTATATGGGTTGGGGGCAGACAGGTGTCAGAGATGGACTGGCGCAGCAGCTAGAAAAAGTGGTAAATCTGGAATGTATTTGATCTCTGTCTCACAGGAGTTGGGGGGAGCTCTGGTGCCATTGAGCTGCTAACTACAAGGTCAGCAGTTCGAAACCACCAGCCACTCCACAGGAGAAGGACAGGAGGTTGTACTGCAAAGAGTTACAGTCTCGGAAACCTACCTGTCCTATAGGGTCTCTCTGAGTTGGCATCAACTCAGTGGCAACTCAAAGGTTGGAGTTTGGTCATAGGAGTTGACTCTGTGCCGATTCTTAGTTATTAATTATTTGCATTATATTTGTTACAGATTATTTGAATTCTACAAATTATTTGCATGTGTGCAGTTTACTGATTTAAAATTCAGAACTGGACAACCTGCAGGGTATTCAGAGCTGTGCAACCATTGCCGCAAGCTGAATGTTAGAGCATGTTTGTCCCCCCCTTCTTTTTTTTTCTTTTTTTGTTTAAAATCATTTTATTAGGGGCTCATACAACTCTTATCACAATCCATACATACATCAATTGTGTAAAGCGCATTTGTACATTCATTGCCCTCATCATTCTCAAAACATTTCCTCTCCACTTAAGCCCCTAGCATTAGGTCCTCATTTTTCCCCTCCCTCCCCGCTCCCCTCTCCCTCATGAGCCCTTGATAGTTTATAAATTGTTATTTTGTCATATCTTGCCCTGTCCGATGTCTCCCTTCACCCACTTTTCGATTGTCCATCCCCCAAGGAGGAGGTCACATATAGTTCCTTGTAATCGGTTCCCTCTTTCCTACCCACTCTCCCTCTACCTCTCAGTATCGCCACTCATACCACTGGTTACAGCATGTTTGTCTACCCCCAAAAAGACCCCCTGCATATTAGCAGTTGCCCCCAAACCTCCCTGGCAACCACTTCCTTGTCTCTGGGTCAGTGAAAAAGAGGGAGATCCCCCATGAGACAGATGAGCACAGTGGGCTCACACATGTTGATTGTGAGGATGAGACAGGTCTGGGCAGTGTCACTATGAGTCATGAAATCATATCACGTGGGGTGTTTTGACTGGCTCCTTTCACCTAACACATTATATATATATATATATATATATTTTAAGGTTCATCCATGAACCATGTTGTAACATTTTCAACACTATTCCATTTCATTTTTGAATGATACGCCTTTGTATAGATAAGACTACATCTTGTTTATTCAGTCATCATTTGGGTTGTGCCCACTTTTGGGCTATTATTTATCATGCTACTGTGACCATTTACGACCAGAGTTTGTGTGGACATTGTTTTCATTAGGCGTGGAGTGTCTGGGTCATATAACTGTATTTAGGTTTTTGAGGACTTGCTAAACCATTATCCAAAACAATTACACCATCTCACGTAACTGTTAGCTGCGTATAAGGAGCCGTGATGGATCAGTGACTTACATATTGAGCTGTCAACCACAAGGTCACAGTTGAACCATTATTTCCTCCATGAGAGAATGATGAGGCCATCTGTTTCCATAAAGGTTTAAAGTCTTAGAAACCAAAGGGGCAATTCTCCTCTGCCCTCCAGTGTTGCACTACGTTGGAATCACCTCCATGGCAGTGAGTTTGGTTTGGTTGGTGACCCTCAATTTCTCCAGCTCCTTACCAACACTTGTTACTTACTGTTCATGTTCAGCTTGTTAATTCTAGACATCTCATTGGTTGTGAGATGCTTTTGATTTTCGGATGTGGAGCATCTTATAGTGTACTTATTGACCTTTTGTCTGCCTTCCCTGGAGGAATGTCTATACAGTTCCCTAGTTTATTCTTTGGTTGAGGAGCTTTTAAAATTTATTTTATTATTGCGTTAAACAAGAGTTCTTTACGTATATTCTGGATAGAAGCCTTTTAAGAGAAATCATCTGCAAATGCTTTCAAGCATAGGATGTTTTTCTGTTTTGTTGGCTTGTATTTTTATAAACAAAGTACTTATGTGTAATAAAAGCCAAACCCATTCCCATTGAGTTGATTCTGATTCATACCAGCACAGAGCTGCTCCATAGGGTTTCCAAGGCTATCAATCACTACAAAAGCAAATCGTCTCGTCCTTCTCCCACAGAATGGCTGGTGGATTTAAATTGTCAACCCAAGTGTCAGCCCAACGCTTAACCCACTGTTCCACCAAGCTTCCTTTTTTTTTCCTTCTTCCATCTGCATAAGCAGTGTTTATTGAGGGCCTGTCACATGTTGCACACAGAGCTACACCATCCGTGGCTTTGTGCTTCCTCAGTGCCAGGAGACAGAGCAACAGGAGGGCTGTGGGAGATGGGGAGGCTGAGCTGGAGGTAGCACCCTGGTGGGGGTTCACCTGCCCTCCTGAGCACACAGCAAGGTTCCTTTTTTAAAAAATTATTATTAATTGGGAGTTAATACATATATAATTCCATAGTTCAATCACGTCAAGCAGTATTGTAGGGTTGGTACAATAGTCAGTTTCCAAACATTCTTTTTTTTCCTGGACTTCTTGACATAATCTCCCTTTGACCCCACTCCCCTCATCACTCCCAAACCCTTATTCAACTTGCCCGTATAGGTCCATCAATCCAAAAACAAAAAATATAACACAACTTCAAGAGGGTGACTCCCCCCAATGACATAACACCTCTGAGATAAACCCTAATATGAACAAACAGGAGCAAAACAAAAATACAGATTGAGAACCAGATCAGGTCCAGCGTGCACCACAGGGGGGATCAACTGACAGAGTTGAAACGGTTGTAGTCAGGTTTGTCCCTTTGATCCACCGTACCCATCTCTCCAGGGCACTGTGGAGTACGTACGTCTGAGCCCATCGGTGCAGCCCGTGTGTCACTTCATCTCGTGAGGGCCTTCTTTTTTGCTGCTCCTCCTTTTTACCAAGTATGTTGTCCTTCTCCAGGGTCTGATCTCCCCTGTTAACTTGTCCAAAAGAATGTGAGACGAAGTCTCACCATCCTTGCCTCTAAGTCAGTGGTTT